AAACAGACCCCGCCTCGGTGGGGGGGGGGGGGGGTTACATTTTCTTTTACTTGCCTTCAACCTGAAGCTCTAAAAGTCTCTTTTTAGCCCACGCGATGACACCACACAGGGCTAAAAAGACTACTCACGGCACAAAAACCGTGACCCAACCGTCCAGAAGGTTGTCACTTCCTCCAGACTGCTGGCCACAACATTTGAGGGTGGAGCTGGACGCGTCTGCACAAAAGGACACTGAGCAGTGTCCTCAATGTATGTAACCACGTATAAAATAAGATAAAATAGGGGAGTGGGCAACTATTTGGCAGATGAGGTTTAATGTCGATAAATGTAAAGTAATGCACTTTGGGGTTAAAAACAAGCAAGAGGAATACACATTAATGGGAACTCCACTAGGGAAGTCAGAAATGGAAAAAGATTTGGGGGTCATAGTAGACCACAGATTGAATAATAGCTTGCAATGCCAGGCTGCGGCTAACAAAGCGAGCAGAGTTCTGTCTTGTATTAAAAAAGGGAATGTACTGTAGAGACAAAGCAATCATTTGGCCACTTTATAGATCTCTGCTTCGGCCTCATCTGGAGTCTGCGGCTCAGTTTTGGTCACCAATCCACAGAAAGGATGTCCTTGAGCTGGAGAGAGTCCAGAGAAGGGCAACTAAACTAATTAAGGAGCTGGAGGACCAAAGCTATGAGACAAGGTTATTAAATCTAAACTTGTTCACGCTGGAAGTGAGGAGATTAAGAGGGGACATGATTTTGATGTACAAGATGTTCAATGGGGATAGCAACATCAGCAATAAACTTTTTATAGTAAACTCCATAACAAAGACCAGAGGCCACCACCTAAAACTGGCGGAGAAAAGATTTCACCACAAGGGGCGGAGTGGCTATTTTTCAGTGAGATCGGTTAAAGTCTGGAACTCGCTGGCACAAGAAGTGGCATCAGCTGAGAGTATTGAATAATTCAAAATGCATTTGGATAACTTCCTCAGAGACCACAACATACAGGGGTACAGGTACCCTTAAAAACACGGATGGAAAAAGGGACTCGTGTACACATATACACACACACAATCACATACACACAATAGGTTGGACTTGATGGACCTGTGTTTTTACTCAACCTCAAATACTATGTAACTATGACCTGTGGTCCTTAAAGGAGAACTATGGGCTTAAGGCTTTTCCCCATAGTTCTCCTAAGGGTCACAGGAGGACACAAACTAGCGTCCTCCCGTCACCCTAAGCTCAGTATACCGTGAGCTACAGCTCGCAGTATACTGAGACGCCGCAGCCGACATCGATGTTGAGATCCGCCCAGCTGCGTGAGTGACAGCTGGCTCTGCCTATCTAGAGGCAGAGCCAGCTGTACCGCCCCCTCCCCCGTCCATTCCGCCAGTCGCCAGTCAGCGCTGGCCGATCGAAGCGGGGAGGGGCTGCACAGGGTGACAAACGTGAAGCCAATTCACTGTAGGGCATTTAGCGTTGTCATCCTGTTGGAGGAAAATGGCAATTATCGGCAGGCTCACCAGGGGGGGGGGTCGGAGTAGCCGCACTACAAGGGTTACGTTTGATTCATTCTGCCCGGAGTTCTTCTTTAAGACAGGACACAAGCCTGTCTTAAAGAAGAGACTTTCAGAATGATAACACAAGATGCATACATGCTGTGAAACGTCATCGCTGCTGGTGCTATGGACAGATTTAGCATGACGAGCTGTACCTTCAGAGGAAAGACGGGTTCTTTGACTAATTTGGCAACTCTTTTACATTCAAACGGCCCAAACTGAGTGCGCTTGACCAGTGAAGTGACAGCGAACACACCCTCTGTGCCATCTCCAACGTTTCGGATTTCCAGGTTGGAAGGAATAGATGATCTAGGAATAAAAGACAGTGTTTTGTTACTCAGCAACCTACAGATGTATACACATCGCCAATACATTGCTAATGGGGAGAGCTGTACACTGCATGACCGCTGCAGGCCACCATGAGTACAGCTCACCCACAGGAATGAATGGAGCCGTGGCACGCATGTGCAATATGAAGCAGAGCCAGCTAGAACTTTCTCAGAAAAAAAGGCATGCTTTGAAGGACAACTTGTACCAAAGGAAGGTATATTTGTTCTTTAAAGTGGGTTATCTATTTTGCCCCCTAGATTTAGCCAACCCCCTCATCCGACATTGTGATAATAAGATGAAGGTTCAGGTTTACAAGCAAAATCACTTAAAGTGGACCTTTACCCCCTTTCACTATAAAATCACATCAGCATGTAGCTCTGCATACTGATATGAAATCATCTTTCATTCATTAGTTGCACAAACATATTTTTCTTTTTACACTCAATTAATATTTTTCCACTTCCTGGTCCTCTTGGGTATTAGTGATGTAATCTGTGCCCAAGCATTGCATCCTAGGAAGGTTACATCAGCAGGGCATTGCTGGGAAACCTCACCAGATCTCAGGGAAAGGCATTTTCCTCCCCCGAGATGATGTGCAGGGATCCAGGAAGTAAAAGGGAGATGTATTAATCCGCCCTTAGTAAAATGGCCACTGTGAGAACAATGGGGAATACAAGAAAAACAAGATATGCAAAGAATACAAAGCCGGCAATTATCTAGAAGTGTGTTTGTAGATTGTCATCACTAAACATTTCTAAAGTCGTCTTTGGTGTAATTTCAAAGATAGGGGTAAGTTCCTGTTTAATGGAAATCCACCCCACTGGCGCTACTTGTTGTTTTCAGTGCATGCCGGCAGCCAGACAACTTCAGCACAGCAACATGCTGGCTTCTCTTTCATTCCATACAGTTAAGTAATAAAAATCCCTCACTAATCACAATGGGGGAATTTAGCAAAACTGGAGCAGATTTGCACTGCAGCCAATCAGCTTCTATCTCTCATTTTCAAATCTTACCTGAGCAAACTGAAGAGAGATGCTGATTGGTTGCCATGGGCAACTGCTCCCAATTCTCTCTCTGCCCCAGTTTTGATAAATCCCCTCCAATGTGATCTCTCACAGACCAGCAATATTTCAAGAATGCCAAATGTAACCAAAATGTATAGCTTTCGGACATCGAACAGAGGAGGCCAGCTTGAAGACTAGATATACCAGCAATATGTGTCTTATAACCACACACACTGGACTGTTTAATAGATACATAAATAAGCTAAAGTTCTCTTGACCGGTAAAACAGTAGAAAGGTATCATGGCACACTCACAAACCAAAGGTTCTCTTGACAGGCCTCCTCCCCACCCACTAATACTCACCTTCAGTGGGGGAATCAACCACAGCAGCGTTCTAGAAAGGGCTTTTAAACGCTTATCGGTTGAGTCCATAGAGACAAGCATGTCCTCTACTGGAATAGAAAGTGGCTTGTTACGGCAGGACGCACAGCTGGAATAACTTCTACACAAAAGCCTCAAATGGATACGAGGCTAATAAGTACTTAAAGGGTAGCAAATAGTGTATCAAGTTACTATTAATGTCTGGGAAGATTTATCCTCTCCCTCGGTTTTGGTGACCATTGTCAACAAACCAGTTTGATGGAAAGTCTCTCCAGTAGGTGCAGGCAGCTACACACACACACACACTTCCTCGGGGGAGGGACTAAGGGGTTCTTTATGTCTTGCACAGTGCTGTAGAACACGGGGACAATATACACTGCAAATAACCAATCCAGATCCCGTTACACATCTTGACTTCATCTACTCACCTGGCTCTACTCAGCACAAAAGAGTCCTGGACGGTCACCACTGGACCCAGCTCTGGACACTCCGAGTCATGGTACTGGCCACAGTCCTCACACCCTACACACAGGAAAGTTACAGGTTTCACAACAAAAGCAACATTAATAAACAGACACCATCATGCCCAACACACAACACCCAACACAATGCCCAACAACACACATGCCCCTCCGCCCCCCACGTCAATATGCATTTTAACATTTTAAAGGCAGGTCCCTGCACTGAAAGAGGTAATATACTGAGCTCTCTGGTGACCCGCGGCTCCTTCCTTCCCTCCATTCCAGCCTCTGTTAGTCTATTTGGCATTCAACACATATCGAAGGGTCAGCTGACCGTATCCCCCACTTTGCACTGTGGTTTCACCTCCTGACCCTTACATTACTACAGGACCCAACAATGGCGTAGGGCAGGGCTGGAAAACTACGACCATGCAGCTGTTGTGGAACTACCTCAAGTCCCATGAGACATTGCAAGACTGACACTTACAGGCATGACTTCCAGAGGCAGGGGCATGCTGGGAGTTGTAGCACAGATGGAAAGCCAGAGTTGCCCATCCATCGGAATGCTGAAGAGACTGCAGCCCTGGAATAGGGAAAAGATAGTGGACACGGGCCACCAAAAAGGTGAGCAAAAAGCTCTTCTATTGCTGGGAGGATTCCTTCTCTAGCCTGAAATGGTCACTTTAACAAACGCCCATGTATTTTCTTTTGCCAAAATTAGTTTTTCTACAGTGTGTATGACAGAGCACCCTTAGAGGTCGCCAACACTAAATAAAAGAGGAAAGAGTTTGATATTACTAGAGGCAGCAACAGATAAGAGAATGCCTCCATTCAGGGAATAAACCCTTATAGCATGGCTGGGCATGTAAGAGACTTGCCTGCAGATGGACTCCTGCTCAAAAACGTGCACGCACACAAGTATGCAATCCATTGCCCAAAGTTCCTGGTAAACGCGCTTTAGCATGTGAACGCGCGCAGGACGGGAACATTTATGCGCAATAGCGCATGTACGTGAGCGTGCTCATTATCCTATATAAACAGACATGAAGCCATGACTAAGTTGCTGAGTGGTCTTCAGCTAGTCCCTGTGTGCCCTGTACTCTGTTCTTGTATCCGATTTCCTGTGTATAAACTCGGCTTGTAACCATTTGACTCCTCCTCCTGATTCGGTACCTCTGCTCTCTGATCTCCTGTGTATGACCCTGGCTTACGTTTCCTGACCCTGCTCCTGATCTGTGATTCGGCACCTCGAGATTCGGCTCCCTTTGTATGACTTCGGCTTCAACATGACTTCGCTCCTGGTCTGCCACTTGGTGGATCGCTCCATCAGTACCCTGAGCAACTACATCCAGCCAGTGCTTCCTTGGCCTCATACCCGTTGCCTGCTCTGGTTTCAAGAGGTCCTGCCGATTCACCAGTTGGTCCAACGCACTCAAGCGTCTCAAGAACCGGCCAGCCACCAGTACCGGCAAGTGTGCCCCACTCTGTCCTAAATCCCCTGTCACCACTTCCAGAGGGGTGGGACGAGAGATACACGGGCAGCCCCCTTCTTAGCTGAGTCTCCAGTCAGGTACGTGATAGGGCAACTCCAGCCCTCCAGCTGTTGTGGAACTACAAGTCCCATGAGGTATTACAAGACTGACTGTTATGACAGACATGTTGGGATTTGTAGTTAAAGCATAGCTGGACGGCTGGACTTGCCCACCCCTGCTTTATAGGCATCAGTGGCATTTGCACTCCACTTAAAGTGGAACTAGTGTTATGTGTTCACCAAAAGCCCCATTGTCTCTATAGAGCAAAAAAAAAAAAAAGCAGCAGAGGCGTTCAAACATATTGTGACTTTCTTGGGTGCAAACATAAGACACTTACATATGAACATTGATTCATCTATTGCTTCTTGTGCCATTATAATCCCCTGGGGAAGAAAAAAAGTCAAATCAGAGCCGTTAGTAAAAAGAAAAAGACTTCAAACAAAAACAACTCACATTTTTATTTAAAGGGGAACGCCAGTAATTTATGAGATTGCACAAATACATTTCTGACATGTAACAATACAAAGCAAAGGTTCTGTGTTTCCAAAGTGCCATCTTTTATTATTACAAACCGGTCTTTGAGCTCTATACAAGTGACTTTGGCTAGGCGGAGATGATGTCATCATTCTGATGTCTTTACATATATGACCTGACTCATATTTCTCTTTGATTCAAGTGCCATACGCCCCGAGCATCAAGAAAAGCTGTACTTATAAAACCAGTAAAGCTGGTTGGTTCTCAGCTGGTGGGTCGTGACCCAAAAGTGGGTCACAACCCCATGTTCAGTGGGTTGCCGCCTGCCTTCCACTTTTCTAGGTGAGAGGATCCTCAGTTTCCCCCTAGCACAGCACGGTCAGTTCTTGGGTCAAGCAGCCATTTAAAATATGCTGCCCGGTGCCGAGTGTCAGCTTGAGGTGGGGTGGGCTGGGCTTGGCCACGAGGGAGCACCATCCATACATGCATTGCTTACAGCTTCCTCACGTGTCCTATAGAGGTGCCTGGACCGGAGTGATGTCACGTTCTGGCTCCCGGCTCCTCTACAGGGCGCACAAGAAAGCTGTACAAGTAATGCACATATGGATGGAGCTCCATCACAGTACAGCAACTCGCGCTGGACCACGCAATCGCACCTACTACGCGTTCTGGTCTGGAAGGTGCATTGCGTTGCCATTCCTTTGAATGGCACCCCAAACGCACCTCCCGCCCACAGTGCGTTCTATTGCAGTGCGACTTGGGCCGCAACTTAATGACCAAGGACAAATGTGGGTCCGGAGGTTACACAGGGTGGGAACCCCTGTATTAGGGTATATACAGATTATGTGGAAGGTGAAAAGTAGTTACAATGAGTGTATAAAGCAGGACACAGAAGGTGGAAGAGCTTACAATCTATTGGGGTATAAGGGAGGATACAGAAGGTGGAAGATCTTACACTCTATTAGGGTATAGGGAGGATACAGAAGGTGGAAGAGCTTACACTCTATTAGGATATAAGGGAGGACGCAGAGGGTGGAAGAGCTTACACTCTATTAGGATATAAGGGAGGACGCAGAGGGTGGAAGAGCTTACACTCTATTAGGATATAAGGGAGGACGCAGAGGGTGGAAGAGTTTATAGTCTAGTCGGGTACAAAGGAAGGAATACAATAGATTGGAGAACAAGCGGGTTAAGGAACTTCTGTTCCATATAAATGAATGAAGAACATTGGAATGGACCACGGCCAGTGTGAACCTCCAATGTCCTAGCAGTGGATCCCCGTCATTGGATGATGTGTACGACGCTCATGCACTTTGCGTAGGGTTGCCGCACTGTATTGCTCTAGTGACGCTCCATCCTCAGTACTAGGGGGAGGCGGTCCACAGACCCGTGTGTGCAGAGCTCGGACTATGCCGCTATGCAGGTCTACAAATGTGCAGAGGAGGAGTCTGGGAAATGTGATATGGAGGTTTTGGAAGTAGATCTCTAGGAATGTAACCAATGGGAACAAAGATTTATTTCTGCAATAAGAACAATTTACATCAGCGGGCTCTCCCATTGGTCCGGAGATTCTCTCTAATGGATATAAACACTTCTAGAAGTCACAGAACCGTACAGGAAGCCGCTGCGCAGACACAGCCAGTGTGATCTACCGGCAGGATGGCGAACACTGGGGGCCACGTTGGACAGGACTGGGAGAGAAGAAAGCATTGGGCTAGAATCACAGAACCGAACCAACTTCCAGTGTCGGCTGAGATTTATGGACAGCAGAATGACCGGGAGAAACCAGGATGGAATGGGAGGGGGAGAGCGAGCGACATTGGGGGACGGGAGAGCGAGCGAGCGAAGGCCAGGATGGAGATGATGAGTGGGGGATGTTGGGGAAGGAGACAGATGAGAGATGAAGATGCGATGTGACTGGAAGAGGAGAAGGTGTTGGGGACACCAGCACAGAGATGACACCTACGGCCATGTCCCCATGTGTGACCCCGCACAGAGGAGGAGAGAGCACGGGGGAACTCTCAGCTCGGCACACAGCCGGGTTTTCCCGGCATCCCGGAGAGGAGGACAGCTCCCCCCACCCCCCAGCTACACAGAACCATCGGCCTGGCAGCTGGAGCGGGTGAGGGCCAGAGCCCTGCCGATACCGCTCACCCACCCTTTCCCAACCCCCCTCCACCCGCCTCCCCTCTGTCGCCAGTCCCCCTTTCCTCCCCGTACCTCTCCCGGGGAACCCCCGCCGCGGGGGAACCGAATCCGCACTCCGGGTTCCAATCCGCTCCGGAAATCACGCAGGACCGGAAGCGGCGATCTTGGCGCGCGGGGCATGCCGGGAATTGTAGTCTTTATGTAGCTGCAGCTGCTCCATCATCGTTATTATCATCATACACATTGCATTCAGTTGGTCAGGTGTGAGAGGAGGGAGAAACCTGCACGATACACAGCCACGACATAGAAAACACACATGCACACAAATAAATACATATAAATATATATATGCACAATATAGTTTAATACATTCATTACTTTGTATAAAGCACCAATGTCAATCATTTTTATATATGGGGAGTTTTGCCTCATTTCCTGTTCTTGCAGAAACCTATAATAAATGGGGAGCAGTGGTTGTCACTGGACCGGGATGGCAGAGGCAGTAGTAGTAACCTGACGGAGGTTCTAATCCTCACCCTTACCGATACACGTCACAATCCCTCGCACAGCCCACCATAGACCCCACACAGCACATCATAGTCCACACACAGCCCACCATAGACCACGCACAGCATAGCCCCCACACAGCCCACCATAGACCACGCACAGCCCACCATAGACCCCCGCACAGCCCACTATAGAGCCTGCATAGCCACCTGAGAGCCCACAAAGCCCACTATATAACCTGCACAGCCCAGCTAAGAGTCCACACAGCCCACCATATAACCTGCATAGCCCACCGGAGAGCCCACACAGCCCACTATAGAACCTGCACAGCCTCCTGAGAGCCCACACAGCCCACTATAGAACCTGCACAGCCTCCTGAGACCCCACACAGCCACCTAAGATCCTCCACTGGAGACATCAGGCTGGCACCCCAGAGCAGCACAGGGCATGTAACTTCATATTATTATGCATCAATGTATAATGCAGTCCTCTATAACTGGTTGCCATTCATCATTGCTGTACAATGTTTTGCTGGGATTTGTAGTCCTCTAAAGCTGGTTGTATTTTGCATTGCTGTATAATGTTTTGCTGGGATTTGTAGTCCTCTAAAGCTGGTTGTATTTTGCATTGCTGTATAATGTATTGCTGGGATTTGTAGTCCTCTAAAGCTGGTGGTATTTTCCATTGCTGTATAATGTATCTCTGGGATTTGTTGTTCTATAGCTGGTGATATTCTGCATTGTTGTATAATGTTGCTGGGATTTGTAGTCCTCTAAAGCTGGTTGTGTTTTGCATTGCTGTATAATGTATTGCTGGGATTTGTAGTCCCCTCTAGCTGATAGTATTTTCCATTGCTGTATAATGCATCTCTGGGATTTGTTGTTCTATAGCTGGTGATATTCTGCATTGCTGTATAATGTATTGCTGAGATTTGTAGTCCCTCTACAGCTTGGAGTCAATGGCAAAACTACCAAGGGCGCAGTGTTTGCAGCTGGGACCGGGCCCTGGCACGTCAGCAATCATTAGTCTGCATTGTCCTAAAATCATTAGTATTGTTTTAGAAAAAATGTCACATGACAATAAAAAAAAGTATTGGTAATTGGTGTCAGCGAGTACTTAAGGAAAAGTATCGATACATATACTCGGTCTGGAACAAATGGTGCATCCCTACTTCTAGTGATAACTAAAGATCTTGTAGTGGAATGAGGACCTCCTTCCCCCTGCTGGGGATCCCTTTAGTGATAACCAGAGAGCTATATAGAGGGATCTGGAGATCCATCTAATGCAGGGGTAGTCAAACTCCAGCCCTCCAGTTGTGGTGAAACTACAAAACCCATGCATTTGCCTCTAGAAGTCATGCCGGTGGCTGTCAAGAGTCTTGCAATGCCTAATGGGATTTGTAGTTGGACCACAGCTGGAAAGCCAGAGTTTGACTACCCCTGTCCTAGTATTAACTAAAGAGCTATATAAAGGAATCAGGACCCTCTGCTGGTGATCTTCCTGGTGAGAAGATTTATATAGAGGAATCAGGACCTCCTTCCTCCTGCTGGGGATCCCTCTGGTGCTGTCAGGCCACATTTTTTGCTCACTTTGATATAATCACCCCAAATTGTTTTCCTGTGTAGTTCTGTCCAACACTATACCCCAAATACTGTACACTATCAGAGGACTCTTTTACCCTAAAGAGAGCCGGCTTCCTGATTGGTCGGGACGCGGCGCCAGGCTTTCTGATTGGTCGGGAAGCCGGCTTCATGCTCCCTCGTCACCTCGTGATAAGAAGCATGGGTATACTGAGACGCCGCAGAGAGCTACAACTGCAGAGGGCTGTGACAGGATCGAGAGGTGAGCGAACGCCGGTATGTGTTCGCTCACTTCCCGATCTACTGAGATGAGGAGTGAAAAGCACTCACCTCTTAGTTCTCCTTTAATTATAATCTGGGACACCATCTGCATAGAGTGTGTATGTCGTCTGTCCCAAAATCTAACCAAAGTGTTGACTGTCTCACAAACTGGAATGAGTGCGCTAGAGGTCCAGGGAGTGATCTGGGAGGACTCTGTACAGCACAGTATAATATGGTAGGGCTATGTAGGTACTGGATACACATTAATACAATTACTCATTTCTTTCTGCAGTATACCCCTTTACAGCAGAGCCAAGCTCCAGGTAAACCCTTGACACCAATCCATTCCCCCTCCAGGGGCTATTTCCCTGCCGTCTTCAGGTCGCTTCCATAATACCACTGGTCTTTCCTGTTCTTTCTTGGAAGTGGGCGATCCGGACTCCTGGCGTGAGCGGCACAATGTGCTAATACCACTCAGTTCAGAGTGAGCCTAGACTTGTGTGATGACATCCCCCTAAGGGGCAGTTCCATGATGACAGCCTGAGCTCACTTGAAGTGGGGTAAATGTCACTGGCTGTCATTCAGCCTAGAAGACTGAGGGCATCTAGTGGTGGAGATGAAGTACTGCAGGGGACACCCCTAGATTTCAGGTATCACAGCAAGAACTGCTTCTTCTTCATTTGAATTAACATATTCTCAGCCACATTATGGCAGGTGTAGATGAACTCATAGGGCCCAGTCAGTTCTTTTGTGGTGTGTTAATGCAAATGTGTTAACATGCATTGCGGTAAGGCAGCCCATTTATTAGGAACTAGGGATGCACCGATACTGATACTAGTGTCTGTGCCGATACCGAGTATTTGTACCCGCCCAAATGCTCCCGATGTCTAGCCCAATACCGCAACTTCCGGTATCAGGAAGCTGGGCAGTGAGTCTTTACACGCTGCACGGCTTCCTGATTGGCGGGGAAGTCGGCTCCATCCTCCCTAGGTGATGAGGGAGCATAGAGCCAGCTTCCCGGCCAATCAGAAAGCCAGGCAGCATGTAATGACTCGCCGTCCACACGATTGGCAGGGATGTCGTCTTTCTGGCCAATCAGGAAGCCGGGGTGGGTGGGAGCCTGATTGGCCAGCTTCCCAAATTCAGAAGCCAGGCCGTGATTCATTACCTGCCCCCCGTCTTCTTGATTGGCCAGAAAGCCAGCTTCATGCTCCCTGATACCTAATGATAAGGGAGCATGGAGCCGGCTTTCTGGCCAGTCATGAAGCCGGGCGCCGTGTAATGACTCACCTCCTGGCTTCTGTATTGATTGGGAAGCTGGCTCCATGCTTCCTTGTCA